ACCACAGCCTTCAGTATGGATTACACCTCAACATAAAGAATACAAAAATCCTCACAACTGGACCATTAAGCAACATCGTGATAAATGGAGAAACGATTGAAGTTGTCAAGGATTTCATTTTACTTGGTTCCACAATCAACACCCATGGAAGCAGGAGTCAAGAAATCAAACGACATGTTGCATTAGTGTTGAAAAGCAAAGATGCCACTTTGAGGACTAAGGTATGCCTGACACAAGCCATGGTATTTTCAATCATCTCATATGCATGTGAAAGCTGGACAATGAATCAGGAAGACCGAAGAAGAACTGATACCTTTAAATTGTGGTGTTGGTGAAGAATATTGGATATACTATGGACTGCCAGGAGAATGAACAATTCTGTCTCAGAAGAAGTACAGCCAGAATGCTTATTAGAAGCAAGGATGGAGAGACTACATCTCACACACTTTGGAAATGTTATCAGGAGGGACCAGTCCCTGAAGAAGGACAACATGTTTGATAAAGAAAAGGGTCACTGAAAAAGAGGAAGACCCTCAACGTGACTGATTGACATAGTGGCTGCAACAATGGGCTCAAGCATAATAACGATTGTGAGGATGGCACAGGACTGGGCAGTGTTTCGTTCTGTTGTACATAGGGTCTGTATGAGTGGGAACTGACTCAAGGGCACCTAACAGCAACAAATATTGACTCTATGTACACTAACCTGTCTGTGCTGAAACCTGGGTGATAGTAAGAATACTACCAAAATACTAGATTTGTACACCTGTGAAGAAATGAAAATGGGGCATGCTCAATGGAAGATCCCAAGTAGAAGACTCTGTTAACTAAGTCATCAAAATTTCCTGCCTTGGATAAGGTTTTACTGTCACCATTCAGAGGCAAAAGGAAAAACAATTTCTTCTCTGGGAGCAATACCTCTTATTTAATATACCTGGTCCATTTTTGCTCAAGTTGTGCCTCTGCTCCATTGAATTCAGCTTAAACCAACATGCTCAGAATCAGTTTCAGCATATAGGATCAAGCTCTCAGTAATATTCAGAAAATATACTAAATGAGCCCCATTTGGACAGAAAGAGTCAATAAACTTCAGAAACTGGACAACCTCCAACTTCTAGTGATTAAGACATGATGGAGAACACCTTTTATTGGTTTGGACACAACGTAGACTGGTGTATAAATCATGTCAGAGGACTCTAAAGAGCCAAAGGCTGGCTGGAGCAACCTGAAGCATCAGAGAAAGCTCTGACCTGAGAAGAACTCCATTCCCAGAGTGTGTTGAGGCAAAGATGCACAGCAGGCCTGGGAGTGTTTCAAGGAGGAGGAAGATATCAATTACATGGAGTAAAAGTCATATCACTCACTCTGGATGAAGCCAGCTGCCATACGTAGAGGCCCATGTGCTAAGGAACCCAAACCTCCTGGCAACAACCACATGAGTGAGCTTGGAAGTAGATCCTCCAGTGCCAGTCAAGCCAGCCTTCAGAAGACTGTAGCCCTGACCAGCATCTTGATTGCAACCCCGTGAGAGACTCTGAGACAGAACCACCCAGCAAGGCCACTCCCTGTTTTCTGATCCCCAGAAAGTGTAAGATAATAAACGTCTGTTGTTTTAAGACAAAAAAAATTAATCTTTTACAAATTCTTCCAGAGATTAAGAAAAAAAGAAATACTTCCCAACTCCTATTATGACGTCAACATAATCTTGATTGAGTGACCAATCTCACTCATTAACAAAGATGTAAAATTCTAAGCAAAATATTAGGAAGCCAAATCCAGTCAAAGAGCAAACTGGTTTTATCCCAGATGGCAAGTTTGGTTTAACATGAGAAAATCAAACAAAATATCTTATCACTTTAAAAGAATTATTTTAAAAATCATGATAAAAATTCTTCACAAACTAGGGACTAAAAGGGATTTTAATAGATGATAACTAAGCAAAATCACAGCAAATACCCTACTCAGTGGTGAAATGTTAAAAGCATTTCCTCTGAGATCAAAAATCCGGCAACAGATTACCATTTCTATTCAAGTGGAGGTTTCAGTCTGTATAGTAAGGCAAGAAAGAATATAAAAAGTGAAATGAATGGAGGAGAAAAAAAGAGATTAAGCTGACATTATTCATAGATTGCATAATTCTGCTTGTGGAAAATCCAAAAGAAACTACTAATAAATCCACAGAATTAATAATTAAATTTAACAAGAATTCTGGACTCTTAGCAAAGCAAATCTAAAAGATCAATTATATTTCTTTGTAACAATAACAGAAAGCTAAACAAAGAAACATTTAAAAGGCACCATTCACAACAGAATTTTAAAAAACAAAGATGAAAAAAATATAATGAAAAGATGTGTAAGACTTCCCCCCCAAAATTATAAAACATCAGGAAAAACTTAAAGACCTCATTTGAAGCTAAATTCACTCCCTCAAAATAGTGAAGCAATCCTAAAACGAAGATAAGTGTTTAAAGAAGTAGGTATGATGAGATCCTCAAAGATATTTTTTTTAAAAAAGATCCATTTTATTTTAATTATAAAACATAGCTGTGGACCAAATTAATTTTTAGTCTTATGCCATAAGATACCATATATTGATAATTTCAATAATATTATGACTTATACTAATGAGTCATATATCACAAGTAATTTCAAGAACAACCCTAAGGACTTGGTATTAGGTTTAAAAACATTATTTTGGTATTCATATATTACCTGATAATCAGCAGGCCCAGGAGTAATAAGAGTTTCTTTCCGAAACAGGAAAAATGTCCGAGGAACAGAAGATCCAAATGCACTTTTCTTTTTTTTCTCTGAGCAGATATTTTTAACATTGTCAACTATAGCACTGTTTAGGATATTATAAAACCCAGGGCCTAAAATTATGAAGAATATCAAAAATAAGAATAAACATTCCTTTACTTCTTTTGAACTGAGAAATTTTACACTAAGTAATTTTTTTAGAAAGAACACCCAGAAAAATATTAAAATATGTAAAGTTTAATCAATTAGAAATATCTTCTTTGAAATATCTGACATTGCACTAGTCTTCGCAGCTAGTGTAATAATATAACTTTACTGTCAATCATCTGGATATGCTATAAATTAGACATCTTTTTATCAATTTTATTTTATTTAATCATCAGGCAAGGTTAAGAACCATAGCTACCAAGTAGCAAGTCTATACTACAAATATCCAATAAACTTCAGAACATATGGAAACTTTAAATAACTTAAGTTTCTAGTACATTCACTGCCTTACCCTCAATTAGTTATTGTAAAATCCTCCACTTAATTTTTATTAAATAAAGAGGAAAATATCATGATAAAACATAAATAGGTAGGTTAATTATCCTTTACCTATAATTTATTCCTGAAGAAGAAAACTAAGTATAAAAATCTCTTCTTCACATTGAAACAAATACTGGAATCAAAATGGCAGAGTAGGAATCTCCATGCTCCCCTCCTCACCCAGAGAAAGTACAAATACAAGCAGAAAACAGCACTGTCGCCTTGCTGGAATGCTTGTGAACAGCCAGGAGATCACGACAGCAAGGTGCAGCCTTGCAGAATAGTAGGAAGACTTTGAGACTTTTCTCTTGATGCTGGCTCGAACATCACCCCTGACCCATTCGGCAGCTGGCTAGAAGTGTCAGCTGCATTGCCAGCTTTGGAGCTGAGCCCCTAGTTCTAGGGTGAACAGAGAGCATTTTATTAACAGGGTGTGATGTTTCCCTGCGTTAATCAGTCAAGTGACTACTCAAAGGACAAAAACAAAGTGTTTGTCTCGTTTCATCCATCTTGGAGGTCACTGGGGTGGAAGAACGTCAGACATAGATCACTCACTGTAAGGTAAGCAAAGAAGCCCATGGCTGCCTGGAGCAAAGGAGGGAGACAGAGATGCCAGGGTGAAAATGCCAGGGAGAGAATTTCCTTGGGAAATTGGGGCACATAATGTCACCTGTTGTTGTTGTTGTGTGTTGTCAAGTCAATTCTGACTCATAGCAACCTTACAGGACAGAGTAGAACTCCCCATAGGGTTTCCTAAACTATAATTTTACAGGAGCATATCACCAGATCTTTCCTCCTGCGGAGCAGATGGTGGGTTTGAACCACAGATCATTCAGTTAGCAGCTAAGCCTTTAACCATTGCACAACCAGGGCTGCTTTAAAAGCACCTAAGTGTGTTTAATTCAGAGAGTCACAGGCATGTACAGGGCAAGATGCCTGGCCAGAAAAATCAAAGGTAATCCTACATTTTCTTCTTGGGTGGATCTCCCAGCTCAGTGTAAGGCTGCATAAGGATTTTCACAGCACAGAGCCAGTCTGCAAAGACAGCAAGAGGCTTTTTTCCCAGTGGTTTTCCCACTGTTTATTTTAGCAAAAATAGTTTGAAAAAGTCACTAAGCTAACTGACTACCACAACCTTAAACAATAAAGAAAAGAGAGAAAGGAAGAAAGAAAAAAATAAAGAAAAACTAGCAAACCCTGAGAGAACTTGAGTTCTAAAACTACTGTATTATACCATTAAAATGTCTCATTTTGAACAACAACAAAAAAAACCACAAGACATACAGAGAAACAGGGAAATATGCCCCATTCAAAGCAACAAAATAAGGCAGCAAAGACTGTCATTTAAGAAGAGGCCATTGAAAATACCATGGCTTGGGCCAGGCACACCTTAATCCTCAGTATGACGTATTTGCTTTTTAACACTTGAAAGAAGTGTTTTGCAGCAGATTTTCATCTGTCACGCGTCTGTCAGTTTGTCGCACTGTGGTGGCTTGCATGTTGTTGTGATGTTGAAAGCTATGCCACCAGTATTTCAAATACCAGCAGGGCAAAGTAGACAGGTTTCAGTGAAGCTTCCAGACTAAGACAGACTAGGAAAAAGGACCTGGCGGTCTACTTCTCAAATAACTGGCCAGTGAAAACCTTACGAATAGCAGCAGGAAAACAGTACAAAGCTACAGTTAAGACATATGACATATTAAATTGAAATCTTAATAAAGCTGTAAATTATTTTTAACTGTCTCTGTTTAGTGATAAATGGAGAAAATATTGAAGTCATCAAGGATTTCATTTTAATTGGATCCACAATCAACAACCATGGAAGGAGCAGTCAAGAAATAAACGACATATCGCATTGGGCAAATCTGCTGCAAAAGACCTCTTTAAAGTGTTCAAAAGCAAATATGTCACTTTGAGGACTAAGATGAGTCTGACCCAAGCCATGGTATTTTCAATCTTCTCATATGCATGCGAAAACTGAACAATCAATAAGGAAGACAGAAGAAGAACTGATGCCTTTAGATTATGATGTTGGCAAAGAATATTCAATATACCATGGACTGCCAGTAGAACAAACAAATCTGTCTTGGAAAAAGTACAGCCAGAAAGCTCCTTAGAAACGAGGATGGCAAGACTTCATCTCACATACTCTGGACATGTCATCAGGAGGGACCAGTCCCTGGAAAAGCACATCATGCTTGGTAATGTAGAGGGTCAGTGAAAAAGAGGAAGACCCTGAACAAAACGGATTGACACAGTGGCTGCAACAATGGGCTCAAACAGCAACAATTGTGAAGATGGTACAGGACTGGATAGCATTTTGTTCTGTTGTGTATGGGGTCACTATGAGTCAGAACCAACTCAACAGCACCTAGCAACAAATGTTTAGTGCACAGTCAATGCTAAAAAAAAAATTGATTGACTTAAAATGGCAACACTAACTGTATAGAATCACAGCAACAATAACAAAAAAAACTGCACTCTGATGCATCCACCTTGTTAAGAATATTAAGTTATATAAAGCTCAACAGCAGAAATGCTAACCTGGCATTTCCTCTGTCCTGGATTCCTGTGTGAATCGAGCAGCACTTTGACCAAATGCAGATTTTTTCAGTCCTAAAGTTTTCTTTGAGGACTTGAGAGCAGTTCGAGGTTCATTATACGTGCCAGGAGCTGGTGTGATTGATTTCATAGGTACAAATCTCTAGTGAAGAACGGGAAAATACGCCAATGACAGACTAATAGTACATTTTGATACTTCATGAGTTAAAAGCTGCCTTCTTAGTAATATAACATCTGGAGTTTAATTTACATCTTAATGTAGTGAATGAATTAATATCTTATACCCATCAAACCATAAAATAAATAGCTTTTAGTAAAATCACCTATATATTAATGCAGCAATGCATTATGTACATTACCTGTGGAAGAAAATCATCACAACATGAACTTCTTGATGATAATGTACGGACAATTTTTACATTTAAAATATTCTACAAGGTATTAAGTTAAAAATTATATGATCTAATATAGTTTCTTGTATGTAATAAAAATCACATGAGTTGACAAAGTTCCTTAACATATGTATTCAATTAACCCCCCAATATCATTAAATACCTTAATAAATCTAAAATCTTATATTCAAGTAGTTTAGAAATCCAATTTAATTACATAAACGTTAGTATTTATTAAATAGTATTACATGTATATATAGAGAGAATATGAACTCTTAGGAAATACAGTGTTTGATAATCTTATTTTTTTATCTTTTTATTTGGAAATAGTTTCAAATTTACAGAAAAGTTGCATGAATAAAAATAATACAGAAAACACATGCATAATCTTTACCAAGATGCACCTATTGTTAACGTTACCCTATTTGCTTTTTCATTTGCCTCCTCTCTCTGTTTCTTTCTCTATCTGTCTCTCCCTCTCCCTGTCTCTCTGTACACACACATGCACACACACATGCACACACACATGCACGCACACGCATGCACGCACACATGCACGCACACACGTGCGCACACACACGCACATGCACACACACACGCGCACACACACATACACATGTACACATATATAGAACCATTTAATGGAATGTTACATAAGTTATAACCCATTACCCCTAAATACTTCCTAATACTCGTGTATTTCCTAAAAACAGGGATACTTTCTTACATAACCACAATACACTCATCAACTTCAGAGAAGCATTATTGATAGAATGCTTTTATCTAATCTGCCATTCATATTCAAAATCTGTCAGTCAGCCTCATAATGTCCCTACTGCATTTTTTTCTCTCCAGTACGTAACCTACCCTAGGATCAGGTATTATATTTAGTCATCATGTCTCTTTAAAAAAAAAAAAACCAAACCCTTTGCCATCGAATCAACCCTACGGGACAGAGCAGAACTGCCCCATAGGATTTCCAAGGAGCGCCTGGTGGATTTAAACTGCCAGTCTTTTGGTTAGCATCCGTAGCTCTTAACCACTACACCACCAGGTTTTCCATTAACTTCCTTTAATCTAGGAACATTTCCACAGCCTTCCTTTGTGTGTTATGACTGACATTTTAGAAGAATACAGCAACATCACTTCCCTTTCGTATAGTAGAACCTTCCTTTTTGGGAGTTTCTGGATGCTTCCCCATGATTATATCTATACTATGCGTTCCCAAACACAATACTAAATAGCTGATGTTGTGGTTTTCTAAGGGTATCACATCTGCAGGAACACGAAGTCCTTTGTCCCTCACTGGTCATGTTCATTTTAATCAAATCCAATACTCCTTCTATATTTACTAGTCAACACTCAGCATTGTACTCTAAACAAAGGCCCTCCCTTCTCCCCCAATTATATCTTTATCTATCTATCTATCTGTCTGTCTCTCTGTCTGCCTGCCTATCTTCCTGTCTATTTATTGTAATATGGACTCATGAATGCTAATTTTAATAATTTATAATTCATTTCTGTACTTAATTATTTTGGCCCAGAAATTGCAAGTTGAGGTTAGACGACTCCAAGCTGTCTCCTAGGTACCTATAACATGCCCTAGATTTTTTTTTTAGTACTTCTTTACTTTCCAATACAACAAGATGTTGTGGGCTCATTTTGTACCTACTCTGCCCAGCCCTGGAATCAGCTATTTCTCTGAGAAACCCTGTCTTTTTAGTAGGGAATGAAATTAGACGTCAAGATCTAGGCTCAAGATGTGCTTCTTGCTACTAGGGTGTCTGCTTCTTGATCCTTTCAGCAGACAGAGCCAGGAAATATATACATACATTTACACATACATGTATATCTTAACATCATGAGTTTAACTTCCATTCAAATTTACCCCCACAGGGTACTTTGTAGCCTCCATCAATCCATATTTATATGTATATTTTTCCACAGTGAAAACCCTGGCTCCTAATATTAGTTATTTTGCTTAAACCTGTAATATATCTGAAATACTCTCAGAATTAATTCTCCCATACTGTTACAATATACAAGCTTACTAAAACAGATTCAGAATTTGTTTATAAACTTCCATTTGGTATCCCCACCCCATCCCATCCAAGACTGAAGATACATAATCAAATATGGTGTTACTAGGGTAATCTGAATTCTTTTTTTTTTCATTCAGTGTGGTTAGGGGTATTCATTCAATGACTCATTTATTTCCTTCTTTCAGTTTCAGTTTTTTTTTTTAAACACTTCCCATTATTATTGATTGAATTTTATGTTTTGAATATGTGGAACACTGACATGCTTCCAAAAGACAAAATATATACTGCCTTCTACCCAATGGTATGCTGCATCTCTAGGGGAAAAAATGTCTTGATTTGTAACATATGCCAATTTTCATGGTGTAAATATATCCAACATGGAGGCTGATTTCACACAACCAGCATAACATCAACCAACTTGCAAAACTCCTGAAAAATTAACAATTCGCTCTTGCAAGCAAATACAAGTGAGCTGTAGCATACCAATGCTTCTACCTCAACTTCTCACCATCCATTGTAAGTGACCAACTTCATTATTTTCTGGTTTATTTTTGATAAGTAGTTAGATGTGTGTTTTCTTATTTTCCCTTAATTTCTTATACAAAAAGTAGTATATTTTATATGTTCTTTTGCATTTTGTCAAGTAGGGAGATCTTAACACTACCAAAGCAATTTATTACTACAAATACCAAAAAAAAATTCTCTAATTTTTTTCCTAAATATTACCTTATTATTTAGATGCTGAATACAATGTTTTAAAAAACAATATTTCAACCCTGGTTACATATTAGAATCACTTGAAGAGTTAAAAAACACAAACACTGATGCCTGGGCTTGATTCTGAACAAACTAAATCAATCTCTAGGAAGCAAGGGAGAAGGACAGGTTGAAAGCTGGGTATCACAATGTTTTAAAATTCCCCAGGTGTTTCTGATGTGCAGCCAGGGTGAAAACCATTCTTACAAAGGAAATCTTATGTTTTAAAATTTGTTGAAGACATAAGGAAATTTAGTACATTTAGATAAAATATCAGATAACTCCTTAAATCAATGACTAAAATAAGTATTCTAGCACATAATCTGTCTTTATTACTATATACCACAAATTCTGTGTTCTAAGTTCATCTTCCTACTTGTTTTAATTGCTTTTTCTTTCATCATCATTAATGTGTCTGTTCATATTCAGCTAAACACTAACACTATCCCTAGAAGGCAGTCCTGTTTGATTTTAACTCTTTCATCTTTCACCTCCAAACTATAGATATGCGTGTCCTCTTAGGTTTCATGCTAACACTTCGCGCATTCACTTAGCATGTATATTTGAAAACTCAGGCTAAAACAGACAGTTTGTATAAGCTAAACTGAACTTTCACATATGCAAGTTTGCTTATAGAAAATGTTTAATCAATAATTTCGATTCTAATACTCATCTTTGTGTATTATTGTTAATATTCTGATCTTATTTCATTTCATTTTACTCATATTTTTGGGCAATATAATTTGCCAAGGCTGTGCGTGTTTCCAGTTTGCTTAAATACCACTTTTACTTTAATAATCTCCCTAAACACCATTGGATTTTTTGCTGGCTTCACATTATGCCTATTAGAATCTGTATATGAAAATGTCTGCAGGCCATTACCTGGGACTGAGAAAGAAAAGCAGGGGATGGCTCATTTACATTTGATATCATACTTTCAGTCTTCTGAAACTGACTTTTAATGTCATATCTTCCAGGCCCTGGTACACCCTAAATTACAGACAGAAAGAAATACACGTTCTCATTAACAAAGGCTCTATAGCACCTAAGGGAACAGTTGGCTAAATATCTGAACCAAAGCTACAGGGTTTTTAAGCATATTCCTATATGATATTACCAAATCACTTCATTAAAAGGCAAGCCAGAACACAAGTCTTAAGAGCAGCAAAAAAGAAAAATTTCCTTAGCAAAGCTTCCCATGAACCTAGCAAACACTCCGTGAAGCTTTGCTGCCCTCTACTGATATATCTCAGATAAATTATTCAGCTCTCCACATAATTATACATTACAATGAAGAAATAAAAATGTCTTTTATATTTCTTCCATTTAAAAGAATACAAGTAGCTTCTCCATAAAAAAATTTTTACTATTTTTTCATCTTTAAACAATAGCCAATATTTTTTTCCAACAAATAAACTTCAGACAATATTTTAATTATGAATGTTAGAAGATATAAGACATTAAGCTTTTAATTAGATATTTTACAATAAATAAAAATTTATTCAATAAGTCCTGGAACTGAGATCTCTATTATATATATGTGTGTATCTATATATATACATATATATATCAAGCAGTCTATTTATTCATCAACAAATATTTTAATTGCCTTGACAGTACTTTTTATATAGTATTATAGTCTCATATATACCTCCCCAACTCTTCTATCACCACATGTCTGTTCATTTTTTCATACTGCAGTGGCTTGTGTGTTGCTGTGATGCTGGAAGGTACACCATTGGTATTTCAAATACCAGTAGGGTCACCCACAATGGAAAGGTATCGGCTGAGCTTCCAGACTAAGACAGACTAGGAAGAAGGACCTGGTGATCTACTTCTGAAAAAATTAGCCGGCGAAAACCTTATGAATAGCAGTACAACATGGTCTGATATAGTGTCAGAAGACGAGCCCCTCATGTTGGAAGGCACTCAGAAGACTACGGAAGATTTGT